CTGCTGGGTATAGCAGAGCCAGCAAGGAATATAAGGTCACATGTCAGCGTAATGGACAACGCGAGGTGTACAAGCAGGCAACTCGCACCTTCGCTCATGGACTAAATTATCTCAGCAGGCACGAGTGATCTTAAATGAACTAAATTGACTGATAGTTCTCTGGCTCTCAACTTGCTTCGCGTGTCGTGAACTTGGAACACGATTTAGGGATCTATTTAGTCCTCACGATTCCATCATTTGACGAGGATCGCAATCGAATCCGATCGGTCAACAGAAATTATTGAAAGTTTAAATTTAACCGTACCATGTTTACGATGCAAATTACGAAATTGTCATAAACCGAATACAAAGAACTGAAGTAATGTGAGCAAATAAAGATCGCGGCGCAAAAAAAAAAAACAAATGCGAATTTATAAACGAAATGTGCAAATTTATTCAAAAATTTCAATTTACAAATAGAAAAAGAGTGTAAAAACTGACGTGCAGCAAGCAAGTGCAACAAAAATAAATTGCCTCGCCGAGCGCCGTCCAATATTCGCAATGGGCGACGGCGAGAAGCGATGTTTTACGGTGAACGTTTACCGGTGATCATATCGGGAATATTTTAACAAGATACATGAATTGTGATGGGAGGCCGGGCCTCGTGTGTTGGTGATAAGAGGCCAGGCCTCGTGTGTTGGTGATATGAGGCCAGGCCTCGTGTGTTGGTGATAAGAGGCCAGGCCTCGTGTGTTAATGATAAGAGGCCAGGCCTCGTGTGTTGGTGATAAGAGGGACGGCCTCGTGTGTTGGTGATAAGAGGCCAGGCCTCGTGTGTTGGTTATAAGAGGCCAGGCCTCGTGTGTTGGTTATAAGAGGCTAGGCCTCTTGTTAGGTAATAAGATAGGGAAGGCCTCTTGTGTAGGTGATAAGAGGCCAGGCCTCGTGTGTTGGTGATAAGAGGCCAGGCCTAATGGTTTCTCGCAGGCATGCAAGAGGCCATGCCACATAGAGGCGAGCGCAGCATGTTTAGGGTCAGTAATAAATACGAGAAGTTGTTCAGGTCGCCCAAGTTCGCGTGCTGGAAATAAGGTATGGCGGTGGAGGTCGTACGATCAAACTTTCGGCACGGAATAACATGAACATTTCGGCCAGCCTCCTCAAACTAATGCGACTCTTGGAAAAAAGCGGCAGCGGTCGTGGCGAGAACGAGGCTTCTTTGCGGGACTTTCTGGAGGCTGAGGCTGGGACGAGTCTTAGCCTGGGCTAGGAGAATGGTTCGTTGAGGCTGAAGCTGGGACGAATCTTAGCCTGGGCTGGGAGAATGGTTCGTTGAGGCTGAAGCTGGGACGAATCTTAGCCAGGGCTGGGAGAATGGTTCGTTGAGGATAAAGCTGGGACGAGTATTAGCCTGGGCTGGGAGAATAGTTCGTTGAGGCTGAAGCTGGGACGAATCTTAGCCTGGGCTGGGAGAATGGTTCGTTGAGGATGAAGCTGGGACGAGTATTAGCCTGGGCTGGGAGAATGGTTCGTTGGGACTGAAGCTGGGACGAGTCTTAGCCTAGGCTGGGAGAATGGTTCGTTGGGACTGAAGCTGGGACGAGTCTTAGCCTGGGCTGGGAGAATGGTTCGTTGGGACTGAAGCTGAGACGAGTCTTAGCCTGGGCTGGGAGAATGGTTCGTTGGGACTGACGGGCAGAGAGCTGCACCTAGTTTTATAGTTGGTAGAATCTAATGGTGATTAGTATGATGTAGGAGGTACTAATGTAGGGCCAGAAAATTTGAGTTAATGTCATCGATGCAGGATCCCATAGGCTCATGGCATTGGTGTGAGGAACTCAACTCCATGGACAATTGAATAAAACGCGTGGTTTCTCTCATTATAAACCTAATGAAAATGAACGTGGATTACAAAAAAGTGGCAGGAAATGCGGAGTTACGCGGCCTGCCCGAGTCCGCAGTTCAAAAATGAAGCTGCCTGAAGATGCGACGTAGAAATGCCAGTAATTATTTTCAAGCGACATTATGAGTACGTTAGCGCATCTCCCATCAGCATCAGAAAAATGAAATGAATCTGTGATAATCCTCGAGAATTTCCAGACCATGATAGAAATCTTCCATTTGGACAGGCGCTCGCGATGTTGGTGTTGAATTAACAGCAGACTAATTCACCAGCATTAACGAGTTATTAGCGTCGAATAATGAGATTGCGGCGGCGAACTTGAGAGCTTTGGATTACAACGTAGTCTTCGGCGCAGCAGCGGCCACATATACACAAACGGCCACACAATCAGGGCCACACATGCACAGTCACACAAGCACGGCCGGACTGTATCACACACATGTGTTGGCGCACACAACATATCAGTTGGTGACCGCAAAATAACAGTTTCACCGCAGGGTTAATCCCAGTCTAATTTCTTAATGACTCTGCTTATTTGAAGAAAAAATTCATTCCCATAAAAAGTCACTCTCAATGTGCGGAGAAAAAAAAGGAACGAGTAACAGTCGCGGGGAATTATGTGACGGTAACACGACACCGCTCTCCGCGTCACACAAAAAAGCGTTTCTAGAAGAATTCAATGAATATTCAGAGCAATGAAATGTGCCATCATAATGGCGGAGCGTTCAAAGGAGGGAGGCATGCAGGCCAGCTTTATTCCAGAGAGTGTTCCAGACGACGCCAAACGCTGCATAGAAACAAACTATGAAAATTCTTCATAATATTGAACTTTCAGTCTACTCAACACATGTAAAAGAGTGATAAGAAATTTCATATTTTTAAGGAAGAATGTTTTCGATAGATACATGCGCTGCACATTTGATACAGCTTGGTCACCAAAGCACTGCAGGAATGACGTGGGAGCAAACATATCGTCGTTTCGACAGCATTCCTGGAATAATAGCTTCTGAAGCCGAGAGCAGCCAAAACATTCTATCGAAACCTCAATTAAGAGCACGGCAAATGTTCAAAATAATGCGACCGTCCAGCTTGCGAGGGCATCGAGAGCTAACGCATTGAAACGTCGATTGCCACTTCAGAAGAGTCGATGCGACGTAAAAGAGACACAAGGGCAAAATAATATTAATGATAAAATATTGAAATACGTGGCATAAACATGGGTATAGTAGCAAACATATTAAAATAAAACCTATCGAATATAGAAATTACAGGAACAAGAGGAAAGGTATCGACATTCCATTACGAATATATGTATGAATATAAGCTTTACAGATAAACTGGAGCATAGGCAAGGATGCTCGGTCGGTCCCAAGTTGCGACTCGGAAAATTGAAATTAGATAGTGACCAAGCAGAATCAACAATCATCCATCAGAATAATTAAAGCATCTTCTTTATTCGGTCACATCAGCACGCCTGCAATTTAGCGAACGCTGTTCTTCACAACAATCTGTTAGGTAAGCCATAGGAAATGAAACCAGTTCAGCTAGGACGTGACTGATCACCAGTCAAGAATTAACAGGAAAAAATCAAATTGAGAAGCAAATCAAAGTATGCGTACTGAAAAAATACAAACCAATTCGAACGGTTAGTAACAACACGAATAAACTGTGCATAGCAGGTTTCATCAACCGCTAACGTATGTTGTCCCCTCATAAAATAGCTTTTCTCATCTGCATCAGGATGAAAGCAAGAGTGCGTGCAAGAGTCGCCCAGTCGACACCGTTCAATTTTCGTCGCAAGAGCAAAACAAGCTTGTTCAGTGCGGTTCATCAAAGAAACTTTCACACACTACGAAAGCTTTCAGACCATCAAACGTTTGGCCCGATAATCGGTGGCTTACCGACGGCCGCGATAATCGTTTCCAATATTGCAGCTCATGCCAACAACGGCCGCGATAATGGTTTCCGATCTTGCAGCTCAAGCCAACAACGGCCGCTGTAATCGTTTCCAATCTTGCAGCTCAAGCCAACAATGGCTGCGATAATCGTTTCCGATCTTGCAGCTCAAGCCAACAACGGCCGCTATAATCGTTTCCAATATTGCAGCTCATGCCAAAAACGGCCGCGATAATCGTTTAGCTCAAGCCAACAACGGCCGCGATAATAGTGATATTGTAGCTCCGGCAACCGTTCTCGACCGCACGACCAGCAGTGCCGAGTCTCCGTCATATTTTAGCGGCCAAGGAGCCAAGCCTCAAAAATAGCGGCATTTTACCGAAGAAAATTTCTTGTGCTTCAAAATAATGTATTAGCGGCGAGTCCTCGCGTAAACTAAGAAAATATAAAGGGGACTTGGAGTTAATTTTCGGCGAGCCGCAAAACGAGGGCGGGCGTGGATGGAACTGTGGTAAAGAAACAGCGCTGCAACGAACAGCGGCGTTATGGAGATAAAAAATTCCTGGTTTACTGCAATGAGAAAAAGAGGCGTCGTACGAGCCTCCTGCCTCTCTAGAAGAGGCACCGCCTCAACTTGAACATGTTCATAAGTTAATATAGCTCATATGAGGCTAGAAAATGCGAGAGGTACAATACCAAAAATTGCAAAGCAAGCGTCAATGAACGCTGACAATCCTGCAACAATTTCAAGATGGCCGATAAAAAAATTGCCTTGCAGAGGGGCTTTGTAAGCCATGCATGCCATTACTGATGTCCGTGTCAGGCCGCGGTGGCCGACAGGACGATGCGGCGTGGTCAGCATACCCCAGCTGACGATACTAGTCTCAGGCAGCGCGCATGTCGGAAAGTATTACACAAAAGCTTGAAGTTGATACTGATGGAAGGCAATAAAAGAAAATATTTCTCTATATCAAAGTGATTAAACTAACTCTTTCAGAAAACAGAATCGTCAATAGCCATGAAACAAAGCGGTGCGTGCGAGCATCCGACGCTCGTAGGCACAACTCGGGCCGTACAGGTCCCGGTACCTGTCCCGGCATACGAGGAGGGACTACAGGGGCGCATCAGCGTGACCGTCCTTCAGACGACATCTAAGCATCACAATATAATATAACAGAGAAAAAATACCCGAATTAATTACCAAAGCATCTGAAACTCTCACCTGCTCAGCCGTAAGGAAATCTTGTTTAAGTTCGGATGGCGAGAGATCGTCGTCCTGCACTGCGGCCTTCTTCATGAGGGGCGCTCGCGACGAAGCCTCAACCCTCTCTTCCTTCACTTCCTCGACTCTGGCACACCCAAAGGGCACGTAATTCTTCTTCCAATTGAAATTCAAGGATAAAATACTTGAAGCTTCGCTCCGAGGTTCGCTTTTTCGCGCTGGAGACTCGTAAAGGGACTGAACGAAGCCCTTGGGTTTAGTTGTTACACTTGACTTATCGAAGGTAAACTCTGTGTAGTTATCGCCCCTGCGCGGCGCATCATCGACGCTTGCTTCACTGCTGTGCTTTTCGAACTCCACACAAGGAACGTAGTTATCAGAACGAGGAATTTTTGGATCCATCGTCACGTTTCGGGCGTCACCCTTGAGCAGCTTCTCGGATTCTGGAGATTTATCATAATTGAGGAAATCGGGACTAGACTGGCCACCGTTGGCATGAGGCCCGATGTTGCTTGGCCCGCAATGAACACCGTTAGGGCGGGAATGTATGACTGTGTTAGGCGATATCAAGGCAGGCAATGAAGAATCCCGTTGAGGTAAGACTGGCTTTCCAGAGGGCCCTAATTTTTTAGGCAGAACATTCGCTCCTGAAGAAACGGATGCTCCAGGATTTGAATTTGGGTTGCAGGGCTGAGCGTCGATGGAGTCTTGAGGCTCGTGTAGGCACTTGAGGACGAGGGGATTGATGGGGAAGTGGGCGCTCTGGCAGGGAGTGCTGTACTTGCTGGGCATGCCTGGGGAGCTGGACCCCGACGCTGGGCCCCCGGGCCCGCTCGAGTGACGCGCACGAGACTCGTCGTCCCGGCAGCTGGAGGCTGGAAGATAAAGGCTGGCTGGAGTAGATAAACGGTTTGTAAGTTATGAAGAATATTTTAATAACATTTGCAGAATAAGCTCATCAGCTAGAAAATAGCGAGGTGGCTGCGTTGTGAGTGAAACACGAGTTAGAGACGAGATTTGAAATTAGTTTTGCATTAATTATGATAAATAAAACAGCTCAAGCACTTCAGCATTAGAAATTTTTGTAATTTGTGTCAATAATAATGTTCACTTAATGACTGAAAGCTCTCAATTCTGCTCTCCATTATATGGATAACGACTGATGAATATGATATTGTTAAAAATCTCATTGGTGTCCATAATTTGAAACAAGAACCAACACCAGGGGCCACGGCTATAAACTAAAAAAACAGCGTTGGAACACATCCATGCGACAACATTTCTTCTCGCTTCGAGTCACCGACATGTGGAACAGCCTCCCTGATAGCATCGTTGGAGCTCCGAGTATGAACATCTTCAAAAACAGACTAGACGAAGCTATGCCGGATCATATGTTCAGTCTTAAAATGCCTAGCAAATTACGGAGCAGGCAATAAGTCCAGCAGCTATCTCAATCAATCGTCAGTTATGGAAAGATCGGGTTCCAAAGGCCGGATCCCTTGTGAATCAAGTCACGAATAGTTCAAGAATCGGCAACAGGCCATGGGCCTATGTCTTCAACGCCGACACTTCTATTCTATTCTATTCTATTCTATGCGAGTGTGCAGCGGCGTGCTTTTGATGACGTGCTACTGGTGCTAAGAGTTCTACAAAATTAGAGTAAATATCACGTAGCTTTGCACTTCAAGGTCTGAAATTGCATCTCTTGATCTGTTAATATATTTTTAATGCAAACAGAGAAATACGAAGATGCTGACCACACATGCAATGCAAAAAAATTAATATTTATCTCCTTCACTCCAGAAATTTTCACGGGAAACGATCATTTCCTGAACCTATTATGATCAAGGTACCGTTCTTTTGAACGTCATGCATGGATTTAAGTTTCCGTGGTCTTCCCGTTCACAAGTAAACTCTGGAAAACTATAGGCAACTAGCCTATAATTCCACAACAAGCGTCTCTACGACTATAGCGTCTCTACGACTAGCGTCACCACAACTATAGCGTCACCACAACTAGCGTCACTACAACTAGCGTCACCACAACTATAGCGTCACTACAACTAGCGTCACTACAAAAAGAATCGGCAACAGGCCATGGGCCTATTTCTTCAACGCCGACACTTCTATTCTATTCTATAATAAAAAATAGCTAGCACTAGCGTCGTTTCATTAATGTTAATCAGATTACCAGTAGTAGAGACCAGCAAAAATGTGCACTTCAATAAAATTATCTTTTATGATCATCATTCTGAATTTACACCCAATATTTAACGACATTGCATCAAGAGTTACAAGGAGAACAACAGTTGATCAATTGAAATAACTGACACGGAATATTATAGTTCTCGCTGTGCCTGTGTCGGACAGCTCCGTTTTCTATGAGGCTGCTCGACGCGGCGGCTCCGTTTTCTTTGGCAGTCGCGCCGAAACTGGCGTGGCGGCGGCGGTCCTGAGCCATGGCACGCGCGATGCCGGGGACGGCGGCCTGCGCGTCACGTACGTCCTGTATGAGGGACGCAGGCCACATTAATCCAATGTACACCTTCAGTTCCATAATTCTGCTCAAAATCAATAATTCTGACTCAATTCACTACGTACTTTAAAAATTACATGCATGTGCAAAATTTGCTGGAGAGCAATTCGGGTGTGGGAAGAATTTTTCAATAACAATTTTGAAGTTCATGAACATAGAAAATTTTCCAGTTTGTCTATGAGCTTTTGTAGAGTTCAATCCCATGACTTGGCCCAATGGCATGTGAGCAATCATACAAAAAAGAGATCTGGTCCAGAGGCTAAGAACAATTTAATGTATAAAAATATATAAAAAATAAACGTGATGAGTCACGCATGTGCACAAATTCTCTTCAGAGCGGATATTTATAAACGCAATCACAAGCAAAGCATCGCTAGACTACAACTTAAATTAACATGAATAAGTTAACACTGAGAATATTTGAGCTTATCCCCACTTGATTAGCAAGCGAGGAAGCAAGTGAGGAAGCAAGTGAGGAAGCAAGTGAGGAAGCAAGAGAGGAAGCAAGTGAGGAAGCAAGAGAGGAAGCAAGTGAGGAAGCAAGTGAGGAAGCAAGGGAGGAAGCAAGTGAGGAAGCAAGTGAGGAAGCAAGCGAGGAAGCAAGTGAGGAAGCAAGTGAGGAAGCAAGGGAGGAAGCAAGGGAGGAAGAGTCTTCGGTAGAGTGCGAATGCAGTGGAAGGTAACCTCTCTAAAGTAAGAATTTAAATGCTTAACTAATTCAAGCGAAGTTATTTTATTTGCATTTGAAGCAGGTATGGCGACTAACGAATTCGATCATTCATCACACATCGAGACCAAGCGTAACTAAACGAGAAACGTAACACTAAAGAAAAAAAAGCAAATATCCAGCTTGCTTGCGGTGATCCGAAACTCTAATTGCCGGATGTGGGAGCACCGGGGGACATTCAGTGGCCGGCGGTGGACAGTCTTCTGTTATTGTAACGCCAATTGCCTCTGTAGATACAGCCTATAGTGACGTCATCTACTAGTGACATAGGATAGCGTCACCTAGCTACTAGTGACACAGGACAGCGTCAACTACTAGTGACATAGGACAGCGTCACCTAGCTTATAGTGACACAGGACAGCGTTACCTAGCTACTAGTGACACAGGACAGCGTCACCTACTAGTGACAGCCTACAATAGTTAGGTTAGCAAATGACAGCGTTACCTGCTAGTGACGCTCGAAGTGACCAAAATTTAAAAATTTTGGTCATATCAAAATTAACACAATTCACCAAAATTAGGTGAGCACATTTCATCACCACGTTAGGTTGGGAAGTAGCCACTCAAAGCGAGTCAATTCGATGAGGGATATAGTGAGGACATGTTTGCATGTTAACCAGTCGTTTATTTCTAAGTAGATAATGTCATTTTAATGAAGGCGAGGTTATAGGTTTTGGTCAAAACACCGATTAATTATTTAAATTCGAAAAAAACTAAATACTACCAAGCAGTTAGCCGTGTAACAAAGCCGGTTAAGAACCAATTGCATGTGAAGATTACACGAAAAAACATACTGCACGTGTGTAACAGTATGTAAAAAAAACATATCGACTTCTGTATAGTAAACAATAAAAGACAAGGAATGTATGAAGTCTTTGAATAAAAGATCAATCAATCAATTATCTTACCGAGGACGACCGAGTGGCCGTAGCGGACCCGTTAGCACGGCCGGGCTGAGCGCAACGGTCGCGCCCGTGGCCGGGAGTCAGTGGTACGAGCCCGTTAGCGGCGAGACCGGCGGGGACAGGCGCAGAGGAAGGCCCGGCTGGCAAGTGGACCGGCGCGTCACTGACGATTTGGTCAGGAAGTCTCCTGTACATTCAGGACTTGCTTTAGTGTTGGGCGAGTCAATTCAATGAGAGGGTTGAGGACATGTTTGTGTGGGGCGGTGGGGAGGGTTGAGATGGTGGGGAGGAGGTGCGTGTGATGTGTGAAGAGAAATGGGCGAGGGTAAAGAGGAATGGCCATCTCACGATGCACCCGTCCACACGTCACAATGCACCCGTCCACACGTCACGATGCACCAGGCCACACGGTCACGATGCACCAGTCCACACGTCACGATGCACCAGTCCACACGGTCACGATGCACAGTCCACACGTCACGATGCACCAGTCCACACGTCACGATGCACCAGTCCACACGGTCACGGCAGCCATCCAACAGCGTTACGGACACAGTTCACTATGATAGGTAATCCTAGCACCTCAGTATACTCGGAAAATATGTCAGCCCAACAAGCGCGGACATCTCACCGAGATATTTACCCAACAGTCCAGCTTCTCTCGTAAACACAGACTGCGCGATCTTACTCGTCATGCAGTTTTTTTTTTCGCGGGATAACCAACATAAAGCATAACCCCAACACCAGGCAACCGTCAAAAAGCCTGACTACAGCCAGCAATTCAGGCGCGCAAGAATACTGCATGGAGTCAAGCCTTGCTGTCGCACGATATGTTTTGTCGCCAATGTAACTCATATTTGAGAGGACTGCTGACCCAGGGATATTGGGTGGTGCGAGGGTAACTCTGATCTTATTCTTGCTACAATTATTCTGTATGTACTGCCGGAGCCGTCACATTTGTATTCATTAGGTTGTCGTAAGGACATGAAGCACAGAGTGAACACAACTTGACTAGTATACCAGATAATTAAATTTAGTCCTCAAGACTAGAAAATTACTAGTACAATAGCGACACTTAGAATACACGATGAAATAAAAAAATGCCATAAAATGAAAAGCGACCCAATGAATTTTCATTGAGATTTTGGCTTCCATCTTATTCGATGCCAGGCGTCATAGCCAGGCGGCACGCCGGTCAGCTAATTACTTTCCAGTACAATGACCCATTCGAGAAGAGGCGGTAGATCAAGGCGGTAGATCGAACCACCAACATTCGCACATTGGCAGCCTCCTCTCATGCCTCATCTCGGGGCTCGCATTCAACTGGGCTAAATTGAGCAGTTTCATGATGGACGTTGAAAATACCTGAACATAATATTTATTCAGATTTATCTCGTCAAGTGGGTGAACTACTGTGATGAACTGACGGTTCTTCCAAGGAAATATGAACCCATTCCGCGATACTCAACCCGCTAAATTAGAAGCGGAGAATAAATGCGAGTCGAGTGTAACATCGCGATTCAGTATAAGCCTGCGCAACATACAACACGTCCCGTACGATAATAATACGCGAGACCAGCGGACACGTGCAAAAGTATACAGGAAGGATAGTTGACCATGACTAACTCATCGAGAAACAATACCTCAAGCAGAAATTAATCCTTAAACAGTCAAGTTTCCGTGAGTAGGCGCGGTAGAAATAAAATAAACTATATATATGAAAGTGAAAAATTATTCTCTTTGAGGCGAAATTTCTTATAAATATAATATTTCTTTGGTCAGTTTACCATAATATAGGTCAAGCGACTATTAATGCCGTGCTGTTTGGATTCCCTGGACGTTGTTGTCGCAACTATTGGCATTGGAACGCAGTGTTGAACGAGAGCAAGATCGAAATAAAAATTAACTACCATTTGCCACGACCAACCCTCGGCTACCTCGATGCTTACAAATAAAATGGCAATATTCCAACAGTGAATGTTGAATGAATTGGAAATGGCGTGCAGAGAAATGCAGATATAGAAAATTCCAGCCATTATGAACAAAATAATTTGTGTGACAAGAACTTGTGAACATCGAGTATCGGCAATTTGTTCAAATACCTAAACGACGTCAATAACGTCAAACGAGCACAATCAATCGCACAGAAGTTACCGCTTGATAATTTTAATGCAACTGCGGCAAAAAATGGACACGCATGGAATGGGCGGTAGGCAGGATGACGCGTGTCCATGCACGCATAAGCAAGAAGTAAACAAAAGGATGAGATCCAAGGGCGCAAGTGTCGTCCGCTGTGAAAATATAATTTATAAAAAAACTGTTCTATTCAGCAGCTCAGCATCAAGAACGATCAGCACACAAGGCTTTTCGAAGAGAATACATATGGACGACGGTCTTCTCACATATTTGGCTCTTGTTTTCTTTGGCCCATCGGGAGAAAAATATTTTGGGAAATTACAGAATGTCACATATTGGAACAATAGAGAGGAAACCGTGATTTAGTTAATGTTAAACTACCACACAAAATTAAGGTCCAGAGCTCCGGAATCGCTACGGTTTCTTCAAATATATATAGAGGCTAGACAAAATCAATTGGAACAAAATCATGTACTGCTAGTCTTAAAAGACCCAAAAATATTAATTTTCTTGAAAGTTTCGTGAGATAATGATGCTTCAGTTAATCAGTTTCAGACACCAGCTTCTATTTTACCTCCACAGGGAACTGAGAAGAAGATCCCATTCTCAACTATTCAACAGGAGCGTCGTGAGCGCCAGCAACTCATTCACTGGCGCTTGTTCGTGCACTTATTTCTAGCCTCAGTTTGTACAGATCCCTTGAAGGTTGCAGCAGCCTGGCACACCCACATTAATCTACTATATTTAAATAGACCGCGAAGACAGGTCAGTCTTGGGCCGTGGTCTTATCGTAACGACCACGGCGCGGTCTCAGGCACCGCGGGACAAAAACAAATGCCATATTCAAATTGCATCTATAACAATAATGAATACAGACAAAATATGCTTACAGAATTACATTTTAATTACAATGTTTAAAAATACAGTAAATTTCATTTGTAAGTATATCAGATACTTTAGCTGGTACCATACAACCGCAGTATTTCTTCAGCATGAACGGTCAATAAGACGATAAATTTTTCAATGAAACGACTGCTAACAGTTGCAGAGAAATTCGAGTGACTGCGCTGAAAATTAGATACGAATTGCATCATCTTCAAGTTCGATAAGCCTGAGGAATCATTACGATGGTAAAGATAGAGAAATCTTTGATACCGTACTCATTGAGAATCAGACTTCAACGATTATTAAGCTCCTGCGCTTCTACGTTCCCGGGACACGACGCAACTAAATAATGCTGTAATAAGCTGGTAACAAACGTCATCCGCTACTGACGTAAATCGTATTATTATGTAATTCGTAACTAAATGGCTGGTAATGAGTGTTGCTACCAATAGACTAGGGGTGAAATTAACGTTTTCTCAGGCTCAGGGTGGTGCCCTGGATTGCGTAAACGCTTAGATCGCTAATCATGATGTCTGGAGCGAGGTCATCGTCGGAAACAATGTCGCCGATTCCATCAAAATCTCAAATATGCGACCCCGATTGTGAACTGTCAGCAGGGAACCGAATCTAGAGCTTCGCAGGAATGCTAGGAATGTTCGCCTTTCTCCGGCCCTGTGCCGGATAACGAATTGCCGCAATCACTGCTCCCAAAATAGCTGAAAAACTTGAAAAATTCCACACGGCTTAGCCATCCATCACAGATTATGGAGCCGCTTGGCACAGAGGGACAAGAAGCGAGGGTGAGGGGTGCCCTGTAACGGGCATGGGAGAGGTGCCCCATACCGGAAATGGGGAGAGGTGCCCGGGAGATAGGGGAGAGGTGCCCGGTGCCCCCTACCAAGCAAAATGGAGCGGTGCTCCATTTTGCTCGTACGTGAGAGGGATAATAACCATGCAACTAAGGAAGGAGCAGCAGAGCTGTTGGAGAATTAACTAGCAAGTAGTGTAATAAGCAACACAGCGATTAACTTCTCACATCGTTCAACCTGAATCGTAAAAGATAAAAAAAAACATCAACAAGAAAAAGTGCGCATTTTAGTTCGGCATATCAAAGGAAGAACCTAGCTTGAGTCAGCATTCCTCGCGTCACATGAACCGACAACTTCGGCCTTAGTTTGTCCTCCGTGGATTTCCACCATTTTCATACCAATGAGCACGAATAACCTAAATTGATGATACATGGCTTGAATAGTTATACTTATAGTGCTCGTATCATCGTATGTACTAATGTCGCCGAGCTTCATTAGGAACGATTTATTACACGATCCGGCGGAGAAGAACTTTACTACAACAGTACAACATGAAGATGCCTATTATTGTGTACGGCTTCTGAAAAAGATAAAGGCCATCAACGCCGTTCTAATATCTTATTTGGCAGGTGCTGTAAACTTAACACCAGCGGCGCGGTCCCTGAACGGCAGCGCGTCATTAGACTAGGTTAGGTCGGCGAAATTTTCCTGTGGAGCAGAGAGGAAGACCAATGCACTTCTTACTACTTCTACCTTGGGTAACCTTGCAGGCTCCTCGATTCATTTTCGGAAGAGAAATTGAACATTTTATCAAGAATTTGCCCGAAGCACACTGGTTTCTGGTTGAAACATATACCTATAACAAAAAACCTCAATGATCGTGGCTTTCAATTGATGAAACGTCGGTATATTCCGTATATTTGTAGTCGGGAAATCGCAAGTGAGAAATCAAATCAGCGTCTTCGATTGGATAGACATGCACAGAGCTTTGGAACGATTTAGGAAATTATAACATTTGTTGCTTAATGAGAAGCATACGTTCATAATAAACTTACATGGCTACGAAGAGAAAGGTCGATTGCTTCCTTTACAACCAAAAAATTACGGTCGCACAGAACAACCTAACTCAGCTCGCGCGCTGCAACGCTCAACGCACACCAACTTCCGTTCCTTCTACAGTACTGAGCGACTAACGTTTTCCAGCCCATTCTACCTTCCAGACATTCTTTGAAAAAACGTCAGAGTTTTCGTGGCAATGAGACTCATATCGGTAAAAAATTTAGAGACTAATTAAAAAGGCTATAAAATATGAATGAAGATAATATTTTATCCCTTTCGGAAACATCGTTTGATCATTTCATCGACAAATGTATAGTATAGGAATCTTTTAATGAATTGATTTTTTCGATTCACTCGTTGCTGTCAACAGTGCACGCACGATGACGTAACATCATCCGACAGTAAGTGTCATGCACCGCTTAGTTCTCCGCTTCAATATTATTATCTAGAAATTTACTTTGTCCAGTTCTCCGAATATTATTCGCACCTAGAATGAAATATTTTCTTTACACATACCTGGGAAAACATTCTAAATATTACATGCCGAGTAATGTGAATTAATGTTTGAAAGTTCTGGTGACATGTGGCAACACTCGCCACCTGTTCGCGAGGGGGCGTGTATACAGAAGCGCAATAGGTCGATACATGCAGCCCTCGTAAACGGCTCATACAGAAGTATATTAGGCTACCTTCTACAAGAATTGCACTTTGATGAATTAAAGCTGTTTTCGTTTTACTATTTACTTATTTCTAGATGAAAATAAAATACCTTTTAAACTATTAAGTGATGGAAAGGCCCAAGGTTTTCATGAATATTTTTAAATAGTTCGAATTTTCTGCATTTCGTAGATGTATCGGAAAATCGATGGCGGCAAGATGGAAAGCAAACGCTTGCTTTCAAATACTAACTTATTTTTATGACGTGCTTAACTTTTTCACTCACAGAGGCAGTCAATTTTAAGGTTTATGTCGACACCATCGAACATCTACATTTCTCATGTTCATTAAAACCTTCACTGGCATAAATTTGAGGCACATTCTCACGTAAATCGATCATTGGATTCGTCAGTGTAAATTATTTCGTTAAATTTTATGGACTTCCAAGAAACGCTTTCATTTTTCTCAATTAAACGTTTTAAATTCAAGTAACCATTTAAAAGTATGACTTCAACCCAGGTTCTGGCCGGCAACAGGCGTTTATGCGAAAAGAGTCAAATATCAACAAAATTAGATAATTTAAAAACTAACAAGTTAACCAAGATGCACGATAAAAATGCATGATATCTTCTAAATTAAGCCTAATTAACTACCTCTGCCTATTCGAATTTAAGCCTTGTTGAATAATTTGCCCATAAAAACATTATTTCACTCTATTTTTTTTAGAAATTTTATGCACTTTTGAGCCAATGATGGCTGCCCACTGAAACAATATGCGGGAATTGTAAGCGTAAGGCAAAGTTTTATCAAGCAAACAAAGATTTTCAACCAAATTAATATAGGGTAATTTATTCATCGCAGTCTTCGACGAATGTTTTTCTCTATGTGATATACAATTCTGAGAGAATAAATAAAAAATAAAGGGACCAAATCTTGCTCCTGCATGAAAAATTGCGAATGAAATAACAGTTTTACTTACAATTATTTCTAGTTTATTGTGAACTAAGCTTCCAATTGCGTTAAAATAGGCATTAATTACAAAAGAAAATCCCTGACTTATAGTTATTATAAAATTTGGCATTTATAGTTTATTTAAATTGAAGAATACACTATCAGAGATTAATCATTGATATTTGTATAACAAACTCAAAGAGTTTCCTCAACTAATCAAAATAACAATTTACCTTTTTACAACCACAGCTAATATGTCAACACTACTTACTTATTTCGAACTAAAAAAAAAACAGAAGCTAGCGGGAAACCCGCGACCTGAAAAAAACTCCGCGTTTTTTGCGCTGACCGAAAAAACTGACAATGAAAACGCGCCTGAAATTCCCGAGCCTGGGGCGCTCTGAGGTATACAAGACCTACGACACACGTTATAGGTATACGTGTTATACAAGACCTGCGACACACGTTACAGTCATTCGTGTTATACAAGACCTACGACACACGTTACAGTCATTCGTGTTATACAAGACCTACGACACGCGTTACATGCAGTCATACGTGTTATACAAGACCTGCGACACACGTTACTGTCATACGTGTTATACAAGACCTGTGACACACGTTACTGTCATACGTGTTATACAAGACCTGCGACACACGTTATTGTCATACGTGTTATACAAGACCTGTGACACACGTTAGTCATACGTGTTATACAGGAACTACGGCCCACGTTATTGTCATACGAGTTATATACAAGACCTGCGACACGCGGTCTTCCAATATATTATTGAGCATATTGTATTCCACTAGTAACGCAGTCACGCTGAACATAACACCGCCCTACGTCACGCACACGCTCCATCATAGTAACACGTGGAAGTTATTGTATGAGTCCAGTCTGTTTGCTCCACTGCTGTAGGAGATCCAGCGTTACGCCGTTACCACCACACACCACCACCACCACGGGACCTGGTGAAACACCGAAACTTAATAAAACGAAACTATAAAAAAACTAACGAAACTAAACCCAAACATCAATGAAAAAATAAGAAAACTCCCAATTCGTCGGTACGGTGACTCTGCTTTTAATTGCGTTTATGGAATATTGTGATCATTGAAAAACATTCCCAAGGGTTTATCAATTACGAGAATATTATGAACACGGAATATTTTCAAAGCTGCGAATATATTATTGTATGCATGAAAGTATTTATCATTGAATTTCTCACGTTATGAATTAGCCACGAATTTCGTTATAAGTTTCGTCCTCTGCTGATTGCACTTACATTCTTGAAGTTTGAAGCTGGTGATGAGGCTGATCTTTGACATATTTTTATTCAATATATAGTGACTTTACATGATAATTTTGTTGCTTTTAAATTCTTGATATGATACCATAAATGACTTTAAATTAATTGCCTTTCTGACATTAACAAAAATCAAAGTAACACTATTGTCCTTTTCGATGCAATTTGAACTCCGCACCGAAGCTAACACTCGATGCTATTACGCATGATATTTCGTATCTCGTGGTACATCACGGATTTCTTAACGTATCACGAATCTCTTAACGTATCACGTATCTCTTAACGTATCACATATCTTTTAACGTATCACGTATCTCTTAACGTATCACATATCTTTTAACGTATCACGTATCTCTTAACGTATCACATATCTATTAATGTATCACGTATCTCTTAATGTATCACGTATCTCTTAATGTATCACGTATCTCTTAAAGTATCACGTATCTCTTAAAGTATCACGTATCTCGTAGCGTATCACGTATTTTTAAACGTATCACGTATCTCTTAACGTATCACGTATCTCTTAACGTATCACGCATCTCTCAAACAATCATGTATCTTGTAGCGTATCGCGTATCTCTTAACGTATCACGTATCTCTTAATGTATCACGTATCTCGTAGCGTATCATGTATTTCTTAACGTATCACGTATCTCTTAACGTATCAAGTATTTTAACGTATCACGTATCTCTTAAAGTATAACGTATCTCGTAGCGTATCACGAATATCTTTACGTATCACGTATCTATTAAATTATCACATATCCCGTGAGTAGAGTATCTCGTATCTCGTAGAGTATCACGTATCTCTTAACGTATAACGTATCTCCTAACGTATCACGTATTTCCTAACGTATCAAATATTTCTTAACGTATCACTTATCTCCTTAAGTATCACATATCTCGTAGCTTATCACGTATCTCGTAGCGTACCACGTATCTCGTAGTGTATCTCGTATCTCTTAACGTATCACGTATCTCTTAACGTATCACGGATCTCGAAACACGAAGATACCATATTCTTCCTCGTTGCCGAGTTCAACGTGTCTTAAAAAATATTCTAATCCTCCCGCAAAATAAAAAAATTTATACTTGGTCTTTTCTGATGCTATATTAATATACAGTACGAGGTCACCACTGTCACATTATAAGATACCCTAAGCCGTTATTATTATTATTTTTTGGTATTTTATTGTAGGTCTGGGGAGACTCACGGTCTGGGGAGACTCACGGTCTGGGGAGACTCACGGTCTGGGGAGACTCATGGTCTGGGGATACTCATGGTCTAGGGAGACTCACGGTCTGGGGAGACTCATGGTCTAGGGAGACTAGCGGTCTGGGGAGACTCACGGTCTGGGGAGACGCGCCCCTGGGAGATGAGCATCCTCAGGTGCCCCCCGTACGCCCCCGCCAGCGCTGCCCCACACGAGGGCTCCACGAGGTAGCGGTGGTCGTCTGCACAACATATATTTTCTTCACAATAATTAAGCATCATAAATAAAAATGTTTACTGGCGTGCAAGTCTTCAAAGAGCAGGCAACATTTTTGCACCTGCAAAACTGTAACTGTAGTCACTGTAACTGTAGTCACGGAGTCACTGTAAAGGAAGCAGGTTCTATGTAACTAATTGACAAATCATGCAGGATAAGATGAATAAATAAGCTAATATTATTTGATGAAGGGAAGTTACTCCACTACGTAAATTCAATAAATGCATGACGGTGAAAAAGTATACAGTCGAACACAGATGATGAAAACCAAAAAAGATTAAGAGTTTCGGGAAAGAAGGCGCACGTCAGACCTGTGAAAAAAAAGCACGCTAAATAACTACTACTAGTGGATTAGTGGAGTATACGCAAAGTATGATCCATTTCATATAATGAACAAGGTACGCAGGATAGAATATATAACAAACAAAGAGAATTTTAATTTACATATAGGATGTTACGAGGCTCATCTGTTGAGACTGGGAGAATCTAAATATATTGATGAAATGCTCACAGAAATACAGTACGCTTAGTTAAGAATTATAGTGCATTAAAGCATGAAGGATATTAGAACTATCAATCACTAAGTGACCGTGTAAAACTTGCTGGCTTGCAATAATTGAAAAGAATTAATTCTATCCTGACATGCAAGTAATTGTCTAGCAGTCACTGCGTCGTGCAGTCACTGCGTCGTACAGTCACTGCTTACTGCAGTCACTGCTTACTGCAGTCACTGCGTCGTACAGTCACTGCGTCATGCAGTCACTGAGTCGTGCAGTCACTGCGTCGTGCAGTCACTGCGTCGTGCAGTCACTGCGTCGTGCAGTCACTGCGTCGTGCAGTCACTGCGTCGTGCAGTCACAGTCGTGCAGTCACTGCCCTCTCACCCAGGAAGCGGCGACAGGCGTGCACGGCTTCCTCGTCAGACACGACCCTCGAGATGACGACGCAGCGCGGCAGCAAACGGAACACTTCGTCGCTCACCGTCAGCGCCCCGAGGGTCTTAGCCAAACTGCAGAGAGGGAGTGAGGAATGATCATGACGGGATGACGTGTACACTTGGTATGAAGCACGGCACGGTACACGTGATTCATCATGAGCCGATACACATTTCATGACGCACTATCAACCGATACACTAGACATGGGATCGGGACCAAGTGAGGCGAGTGTGAAGAGTGAAGTGCCATTGGGAACGGTACTTTGTAGTACTCTCAAAGACGGACCAGAGTACTGCGATGTAGGCCGCCGTACTTCCCCGAACCTTACCTACATGATATGAATTATACAGGCACATTTTTCTTAATGAGCACTAGCCGGACTCAACTCTTAGCTGTTAGCATTGACTACCCATTACACTTTTTGTCATATCTGTAACTTTACCTTCAAAATAATTTTTGTATCTAGCCTTCAGTATCGTTTGCTTAATGAAATATATTTTGGCCCTTTGCAATTTTGTAATTTGTACAAATATTTGTATCAACCTCGTGTGTTAGGGTCTGCAGGCACAAACATTTAATTGTGACTGTAGTCCTGTCGTCCAGCTCCAGCGACACCAGAGTCCAGGACAGACAGCGAAAGGTTGCAGTAAGAACTGTCTGCAATATAAGACTGGTTACATGTGAACAGCATGTAATTTAAGAGCACCAAGTTTGAAGTCATGAGACACAGAGCTGGTACACCGATAACTATCAAGGGACGGCTTAGAAATTGAGAAGCAACTCGTTTGTGACTTGGTGTGAAGATGAGTACGAAAGTCCCGTTTGCTTATCACATGGCGGCAAGCAATAACTGCAAGAAGCAGGCGTCAGACGAGGTGTTCCTCCGGATGATCATAACAAGACATTGAAGACAAGCGGAACCGATTATCACATTCTTTAGAGCGGATTTGATCCCTTTCCTTGAGTGTTGCTACCGGGTCTGAACTCTTTTCGCGCTCGGCGCAGTGCGACAATTGAAAGAGGTCTAGTCACTCTGTTCACATGGAAGATAATACCTAACTGGCACCTAACTTTGATGGTGGAACATTCTGGATTGTGACATACCAAAGTCAGAGAGAAGGATACCTCCATCATGCAACAGATCTGCCATTAAGTTTCAATCTCTGCGGGATTGATCTCTTTCCGTGGCGGGACCGAAGTTGTTTACTGCCTTGCCAATGGTGCTAGGAGAAGGAGAGTTCACCTTCAAGAGACGACTGGACGTATTCTTGCGCACAACTCGAACCATGTACCATTCTCAGCGGCGAGAAACAAGCTACTCTTTTCTCATCAACCTTTAATCCTGCCCGGAGTGGTGTAAGGAATAACAGCGGTAGGCCTACCTGGTGATGGCGCCGATGGCAGGGCAGAGTAGGCCTACCTGGTGATGCCATCGGTAGCAGGTCAGGGGAGACCTACCTGGTGATGCCACCGACGGCCGAACAGGGGAGGACTACCTGGTGATGCCACCGGTGGCAGGGCAGGAGTAGGTCCACCTGGTGATGCCACCGATGACAGGGCAGGGGAAGCCTACCTGGTGATGCTGCCGATGGACACGGGGCCGCCAGCCGCCAGGGCCGCATTCAGGCAGTGCGCCCCTTGCGTCTCCATCGCCAAGATGGGAACGTGACCGAGACCTGCCGCATAGCCACGTATCTTCAGCCCATGTAGGTCGTACCTATGTATATTTTGCTCATTGGAGCAAATCTCGATCATTGTTCGAAGAAAGGGGGTGAGAAGAAAAGGGGGTGAGAAGAACGCCTCAACTGGAATGAATTTATGCCTACATATGCCATTTATAGGAGTGCTTATTTTTAATTCTATTTGAATTTTTTTATGCAATATTTCTTAAACCTCATGAAAGGTTCGAGTTCATAGGAGACAAAATTTTAACGCAACCAATACCTATGCATATCTACTTACACAAGCTAAATGAATATTACTATGATCTGATGAGGTTATTAACAGTAAACTTAAAAAGAAATATACCTATTGTTGGAACAACACATTTACTTCCGATGACTACTGATAATGATGAACAAGATCACAATTAAACTAGGAACGAGGATGTCTATTGAATTCTTTGGATGAGAACACTACATTTAAGTCACTTGGATCAATGGCGTGCACGTACTTGCTTACCATTGCAGTGTTTGGTACAAAATTATACCCTGATAAATTATTCCCCACGAATGTCAACACTAATCATAGAAATACATGAATAATAAATGATAAAATACATTGAGACGTGAATTAAAATCGAATCTATGGAGCAAGAAGAACTCCACAAAAAAGTTAGAGTCATAAATTGCAAGTAAAAATAAGAAGAAAAGCGCCCCATGACACAAAACAAGGCTGAGAAGTGTGCAGTAACGGACGCAACATGGATTCCAAACACGACGTAAAAGTTTGCCGTACGGAAGCGATATGGACACCAAACACGACGTAAACATGTGCCGTAACGGACGCGACACGGATACCAAACACGACGTAAAAGTATAACGTAACGGACGCGACACGGGTACCAAACACGACTAAAAGTGTACCGTACCGGACGGGACATGGATACCAAACATGACATGAAAGTATACCGTAACGGATGCGACACGGATACCAAACACGACTAAAAGTGTACCGTAACGGACGCGACACGGATGACAAACACGACTAAAAGTGTACCGTTATGGACGCGACACGGATACCAAACACGATTAAAAGTGTACCGTAACGGACGTGACACGGATAACAAACACGACTAAAAGTGTACCGTTATGGACGCGACACGAATACCAAACACAACGTAAAAGTTTGCCGTACAGAAGCGATATGGACACCAAACACAACGTAAAAGTTTGCCGTACGGAAGCGATATGGACACCAAACAATGTACCGTTACGGATGAGGCCCGTCATGACGCCGCAGAGGAGGCCGCCGCCACCCACGGAGAGCACAAAGCAAGAAGGCTCCCCGCACTGCCGCACCACCTCGTCCACCAGCGAGCTCACTCCCTCCCTGCCCAGTGCAGGTATAGAAAACATTGCCGTCATGCGAACATCGTTGCCACAAATACGTATTGAGCTCCTGTTTCGTAACAAATTTTATAAATACCTACATTTCGCTTTAACCCTAATCACTACGGATGCAAGCAACGCGCTACAACCTCGGGTGCAATGATTTCAAGACATTTAGAATAGAATAGAAGTGTTGGCATTGAAGAAATAGGCCCATGGCCTGTTACCGATTCTTGAACTTTTCGTGTCTTGATTCACAATGGATCCGGCCTTTGGAACCCGATCTTTCCATAACTGACGATTGATTGAGATAGTTGCTGGACTTATTGCCTGGTCCGTAATTTGCTAGGCATTTTAAGATTGAACATATGCTCCTGCATAGCTTCGTCTAGTCTGTTTTGGAAGGCGTTCATACTCGGAGCGTAAACGATGCTATCAGGGAGGCTGTTCCACATGTGGGTGACTCAAAGCAAGAAGAAATGTTGTCGCATGGATGTGTTACAACGCAGTTTTTTTAGTTCATAGCCGTGGCCCCTGGTGTTAGTTCTTGCTTCAAATTCTAGTAATCCTTCTGGGACCTTGTATAAGCCATGAGTATACTTGTGTGATTCAATGAGGTCCCCACGAGGACGTCGATAACTGAGGCTTGGAAGCTTCATAATCTTTTATCTCTCCTCATAGGACTTGCCATTCAAGCCAGGAGTTATCCTTGTTGCACGTCTTTGAACACTCTCAATTAATTTTTTGTCCTTTTCAAGTATCGGTGACCACACGACGTTTCGAAACTCCAGGTTCGGGCGCACGACAGCAACAAACAACTGCTTCATCGCTTCTGCATCTAGGAACTCGAAAGAGCGTCTGATCAGTCCAAGTCGTTTATTGGCTTTATTAACGTGACCTTCAATAAGCTTCGAAAATTTCAACGCATTGTCGATATTAACTCCTAAATCTTTCTCCATTGTCGACTTCGACATCATCACTCTGTAGTTGCAACCGTGTCTTCTCATACTATAATCTTGCTGTTCATTATTCTTGCCGAGGTGGATTACTTTACATTTGTTAGCGTTAAAACGCAGCTGCCACTTATCAGCCCATGCGTCAACCAAACTGTCAAGATCACCTTGCAACTGTACTTTTTGCGACGTATTCTTCACTGTACTATAAACTTTTGTGTCGTCAGCATACATGGAGCACACGCTAGAAACAGCTTCTGGCAGATCGTTTATAAACTCAACGAATAAAACAGGCCCGAGAACGCTTCCTTGTGCCACGTCGCTGCGCACTGAAGCCCAGTCTGATACGGACCCATTAATAATGACACGTTGTCGCCTCTCTACTAGAAAATCACTGTTCCATTTGAGTACATTACTCTTAATTCCCAAAAGCTTCAATTTACGCAACAGCCGCTCATGGGGGACACTGTTAAATGCCTTGGCAAAATCGAGGTACCCTGCATATACTGGCTCCCTATCGTCCAGCAGGCAGGTCCATTCTTCAAGATAGACAAGATGTTAGTGGTGCAGGATCTACCGGCAAATAGAATAAATTTAGACCTCTTTCATCTTACATACGTCGTGATTTTATTGATGGATATAAGTACAACTTCTTTTATTTGAATTCATCTGTAAACGCACAATTGATAAATGATAAATGTCAATTTGCTCATGACGGTATCACTGTGAACTGTTGATGACGGTACTTCTAGAATCTAGAACACCCACCCCAGAGACATTTGGGTATAAAAGGTTCCTCCTATATTTTTTACGTTAATGCCAGTGAATTATTTGACGATTCATTAATTACAGTGCAGTTCAGTGATGGCTGTGTGGCAGTATGTGTTCTCAGTCTATTTTGTGATTTTATGTTTCGAATTTATATATCAAGGCTTGGTGTCGGTATGGTTCTCCGTAAGTGTCCAAACAACAAGGAATCTTCACCAGTGTCTTTCCATACTTTTCAGTTCAACCCAACATTTGACAAGACTTGCCTGAAATTAAGGCGAATGACCGACTTTGTACAGAGTATACTGTACACATAGTATTCAGAGTTTACAGAGTATAATGCGTTTACCCCTCGCCGTGTGTGACCGAGTATAATAGGTGTACTCACTGAGATAAGCAGAGCATAATTGGGTAGGACCCACCGTCTAAAGCAGAGTATACTGGCTGTATAATTAGTCCAATAGGTCTAGTCAAGATACGATAATTGATCTCCTACCATATTAGTGGGTGGTGGAAGGGGTGAACGTAAAGCAAGTCCTTCTCCCTTGAAAGTTCCTGAGCTTTCTTGTTTGCATCGTCCCAGATGGCGCCGTGAACCTGCAACGCGTTTGGAAATTAGAGAATGACGGGAATATTGGGACAGAAGAATATCTAAGAACTAGCGAGTGTTTGGGTGTGTCAGAACTGATGAGTGTTTGGGTGTGTCAAAACTGGTAAGTATTTGGGTGTGTCAGAACTGGTGAGTGTTTGGGTGTGTCAGAACTGGCGAGTGTTTTGGTGTGTCAGAACTGATGAGTGTTTGGGTGTGTCAGAACTGGTGAGTGATGAGGTGTGCCAGAACTGGTGAGTGTTGAGGTGTGTCAGAACTGGTGAGTGTTGAGGTGTGTCAGAACTGACCAAAATATCAATACTCATCTAATCTCAATTTTACCATTTGCAATGTATGCTAAAAGAAGAATTCAGGACAAAAGTTTTAACCAGTTTCATAAAATTATTCTTGCAGTTACCTGGACAGTGGCTCCTTCCCTTCGCAACTTGTCCGCCATGATGGGCGGTGTGGACGACGGCACGACGACCGTGGCGGGCAAATTGAGGCGGCGGGCGGCATGGGCGGCCGCCTGTCCAGCGTTGCCGCTAGACGACGATACCACGCCCTTGATGCCGCCGGCCGAGTGCTGCACACAGGAAGACTTACCTGAGACGGTCGCTAAGAATTACCGGAACATCAAGGAGTTAAAACTTTCATACGAGAAAGACTAGACTTGCCCTGTCCGCTTGATGGTCTGAAATAATCTATATCGTAATCATAACCTTGAATGTTTCTTGAATGGAAACCTGCCTCCTACAGACGCCCGAACATCAGTGTAACATTTATACGTAACAAGAAGGATCATTCTTACCTCTAACCACGCGCTTTATAGACAGCAGACTTAGGCTGTACAAATAGCGATACACATTTTGCCTTTTGTGGGTAATGTTGTCTTAGTTTGGCCCGGCTTGACGACGTTTCAGTGACACATGTAGAAATTATGTCATTATTTGGACTGCATTAACCATTTGTTTTCCATGTACAAAATGCTCATTTATTGATTTGTATTACTTCTGAGAAGACTTGAACAAAATGTACGTGAGCACTAAAGGTTGACTTCTAAATCTGCTTTATTGACCTCATTAACCTATTGATTTCTCACTAATCATCACTCACACTCTTTCTGACGAGGTTACCGATGCCTCTGATCTTGAAGCTGCCGCTGGGCTGCGTGTTCTCGAGCTTGAGCAACACGCGCACTCCACACGCTGTCTCTTATACACATCTAGATGTGTATAAGAGACAGNTAGATCTCTTTCATTTTACATACCCCGCGATATTATTGATGGATATAATTACAGCTTTCTATTTTTAAATTTACCTGTAAACGCGCAATTAATAAATGATAAGTGTCGATTTACTTATGGCGGTATTTCTATAACACTCACCCTAGAGACGCTTGGGTACAAATGATTCCTCTTATAATTTCTAAGTAAATGCTCATGAATTATTTGAGGATTAGTTGCTTACATTTAAGTTCAGTGATGGTTTAGTGACAGAATGTGTTCCCAGTCAATTTTTTATACATGTATTGAATTTATGCATTACGACTTGATATCGGTCGGTCCTCATAAGCGTCCAAACAACAATTAAGGAACCTTCACGAGTGTCTTTCCATGCTTTTCAGTTCAATCCAACATTAGAACTGGTGAACTGGACTGATATAACGGCAAGTGACCGAGTTCATACAGAGTATTCAGAGTTTACAAAGTATAATAGGTTTACCCCCCCCTGTGAGACCGAGTATAATAGGTGTACTCACTGAGATAAGCAGAGCATAATTGGGTAGGACCCACCGTTTAAGGCAGAGTATAATGGCTGTATAATTAGTTCAATAGGTCTAGTCAGGGTACGATAATTGATCTCTCACCATATGAGTGGGTGGTGGAACGGATGAACGTAAAGCAAGTTCCTGTCTCTTATACACATCTAGATGTGTATAAGAGACAGGTCACTGCGCCGTGCAGTCACTGCGCCGTGCAGTCACTGCGCCGTGCAGTCACTGCGCCGTGCAGTCACTGCGCCGTGCAGCCACTGCGCCGTGCAGTCACTGCGCCGTGCAGTCACTGCGCCGTGCAGTCACTGCGCCGTGCAGTCACTGCTCCGTGCAGTCACTGCGCCGTGCAATCACTGCGCCGTGCAGTCACTGCGCCGTGCAGTCACTGCGTCGTTCAGTCACTGCCCTCTCACCCAGGAAGCGGCGACAGGCGTGCACGGCTTCCTCGTCAGACACGACCCTCGAGATGACGACGCAGTGCGGCAGCAAACGGAACACTTCGTCGCTCACCGTCAGCGCCCCGAGGGTCTTAGCCAAACTGCATGGGGGGAGTGAGGAATGGTCATGACGGGGTGGCGTGTACACTTGGCATTAAGCACGGCATGGTACACTTGATGCATCATGAGCCGATACACATTACGTGATGCACCATGAACCGATACACTAGACTGGGATCGGGATCAAGTGAGACGAGGGTGAAGAGTGCGGTACCATTGGGAACGGTACTTTGTCCTACTCCCAAAGACGGACTGGAGACCAGAGTACTCCGATGTAGGCCGCCGTACTTCTCCGATCTGACTGATGATATGAAGTATACAGGTACAATTCTCTTAATAATCACTAACCGGGCTCAACTCTTAGCTGTTAGCAATGACTAGTCATTACACTTTTTGCCAATTTTGTAACTTTCCCGTGAACACCATCATTGTGCCTTGCCTGCGGTATCGTTTGCTTAATGAAATATATTTTGGCCCTTTGCAATTATGTGATTTGTACCTTATCAACATCTTGTGTTAGGATCGGCCGGAAGAAAAATTTAATTTGACTGTAGCCCTGTCGTCCCGCTACAGCAACACCAGAGTACAGGACAGACAGCGAAAGGTTGTAGGAAGAATTGTCTGCAATATACGACTTGGGAGGGGCACAGCCGTAGGCCACAAATTTTACTCTTAAATAAGCCCTGGATCCAACTTCCACCTTCACCATCCATAAACTTTACTCAGCCTCAGTTATAGAAGCAGCAGGCTAAGCTTGAACCCCGTAATCCAGACAAGCGTCACACTGCCGTAAGATAATAGCGGCGTAGATCTTCAGTCAATACTTAAAAGTATGTTCGCTTATAAGCAGGCAGTTCCTCATCCGGCTGTACCTACTCCGGCCTAACCTCTTCTGGCTGTACCTACTCCGGCCTAACCTCTTCTAGCTTAACCTATTCATGCGGTTCCGGCTAATAACCTTCTTGCAGCCAATGACTGGCTCTACCAGCACACTCGGACCGCCTTTCTAACTTCCTGCAGTCAATGAGGTTAGGTTAGGTCCGCTCAGGATTGTTTAGGGGTGAGAAATGTTTCAACTTGTGTAGGTAAGGCCTGAAGAGGTTTTGCCAGATGCAGTATGGCCATGCTTACCTTTAGCAGGCTTATTTAGTGGCTGTGTACATACGGCACTATGGCTTCGAGCACTTTCCTTTAAAGACTGTTATTCCCTCTAGCGTTCTTACCTACAGAAAAATATATTAACATAGTGTGAAGTTTAGCAAAGAGGACCTCCGACGTGCGCCCCCGACTGAGCACAAGTGCATAGCATGAAACGGGCACCAAATTTGATGTCTTGAGACACAGAGCTGGCACACTGACAACTATCAAGGGGCGGCACAGAAATTGAGGAAGCCACTCGTTTGTGACCTTGGTGTGAAGAAAGTCCCTAAAGTCCAGTTTGGTTATCACATGGTGGCAATAACTGCAAGAGGCAGGCGTCAGACGAGGTGTTCCTACGTACGATCAGTATAAGACAAGCGGAACCGATGATCACACTCTTCAGAGACCTTATGATCCTTCTCCTTGAGTGTCGCTGACTGGTGTGAACATTTTTTCACGCTCGGTGCAGTGCGACAATTGGAAGAGGTCCAGCGAACCTTCGGATCCAGGATCAACGGGATGGAGGAGTTGAACTACCGGCGGAGGCTGGAGCGTTTGGACCACTACTCTGTGCAGCGGAGACGGGAGAGGCATGTCAATAACCGGACTGGCCAATAACTTTGATGGTGGAACCTTCTGGATTGTGACATTTCAAAATCAAAGAGAGTGATGTGCAGGATACCTCCATCATGCAACAGATCTGCCGTCAAGCTTCATTCTCTGCGGGAAGGATCTCTCTCCAAGGCGGGACCGAAGTTATTTTATCGCCCTGGCGATGGTGCTAGAAAGAAGAGAGTTTACCCTAGAGATAGTCACGAGATGACTGGATGTGTTGCTGTGCACAATCTGTACCAGTACCATCCTTGGCAGCAAAAAACAAGCAACTCTTTCTCATCAACCTTTAATCCTGCCCGGAGTAATGTGAGGACTGGCAAAGGTAGGTCTACCTGGTGATGCCGCCCATTGCCAGGCAGGGGAGGCCTACATGATGATGCCACCGATGTGCCACCGATGGCAGGGCAGGGGAAGCCTACCTGGTGATGCCACTGATGGCAGAGCAAGTGAGGTCTACCTTATGATGCCACCGATGGCAGGGAAGGGGAGGCCTACGTGGTGATGCCACCGATGGCAGGGTAGACAAGCCTACCTGGTGATGTTACCGGTGGCAGGGCAAGAGTAGGTCCACCTGGTGATTGCGCCGATGGCAAGGCAGGGGAAGCTTACCTGGTGATGCTGCCGATGGACACGGGTCCGCCAGCCGCCAGGGCCGCATTCAGGCAGTGCGCCCCTTGCGTCTCCATCGCCAAGATGGGAACGTGACCGAGACCTGTCGCATAGCCACGTATCTTCAGCCCATGTAGGTAGTACCTACATTTTGCTCATTGGAGCAAATCTCGATCATTGTTCAGAGAAAGGGGGTTAGAAGAAAGGGGGTGAGAAGAAACCCTCAACTGGAATGATTTTATGTCTACATATGCCATGCATACAAGTGCTTATTTTTAATTCTATTTTAAAATTTTTATGCAATATTTCTTAAACCTCGTAAAAGGTTCGAGTTCATAGATGACAAAATTTTAACGCAATAAATACCTATGCATATCTACTTACAAAGCTAAATGAGTATTACTAAGATCTGATGAGGTAAACTGAAAAAGAAATATACCTATTGTTGGAACAACATATTTACTTCAGATGACAACTGACAATGATGAACAAGATCACAACTAAACTAGGAACGAGGATGGCTATTGATTTCTTTGGATGAGAATATTACTTTGAAGTCACTTGGATAAATGGAGTGCACGTACTTGCTTACCATTGCAGTGTTTGATACACAATTATACCCTGATGTATTATTCCCCACGAATGTCAACACTAATCATAGAAACACATGAATAATAAATGATAAAATACATTGAGACGTGAATTAAAACCGAATCTATGGAGCAAGAATAACTCCACAAAAAAGTTAGAGGCATAAATCGCAAGTAAAAATAAGAAGAAAAGCGCCCCATGACACAAAACAAGGCTGAGAAGTGTGCCGTAACGGACGCAACATGGATACCAAACACGACGTAAAAGTGTGCCGTAACGGAGGCAACATGGATATAAAACACGACGTAAAAGTGTGCCGTAACGGAGGCAACATGGATGCAAAACACGACGTAAACGTGTGCCGTAACGGACGCGACATGGACACCAAACAGTGTACCGTTACGGATGAGGCCCGTCATGACGCCGCAGAGGAGGCCGCCGCCCCCCACGGAGAGCACAAAGCAAGAAGGCTCCCCGCACTGCCGCACCACCTCGTCCACCAGCGAGCTCACTCCCTCCCTGCCCAGTGCAGGTGTAGAAAACATTGACGTCATGCGAACATCGTTGCCAAAAAATACGTATTGAGCTCCTGTTTCGTAACAATACTTATGAATATCTACATTTATATATAAGTACTTCAGCCTGCTTAAATTGCAAGTTCACAAGGAATTTAAAAGCAAATAAAACGCCAAGCAAATTCACCATATCGAGATTGAAAACGTTTTGGAGTCTAGCTCCATCAACAATCTAAAAAATGTACACAATCATTTTATAATTCAAAATTCTAAGTCAGACATTAAAAAATAAAAAGACATGAAATACAAAACAACCTTAAGTCGAAAAAAAGTACTCGCGGAACACAGAGTCATAGGAGACACGAAAAGATTAAAACCAAAGAAAAAACACTAAAACTTGAACGCCTAACGATTCACTATTTCAAGAGGATAGGAACTGAACGCATTTTTTAGACACGGTTTTCGTTTGAAGATATGTAGAGACTACAAATCCTTAAATCCGAACTGCCTGAGCTGGAACTGAATATCCTGAAATCACTCTCACATATAGCCACGTCGCACTGTTCAGCATGGAGGCGCACGGAAGAATAAGGATGATTGCTGAGAAGCAAGTTCGAACGATAGCTCCTGCCACGGTGTTCAGAAACCCGGATGTACAAGTTTCCCGACGTCATTCCAACGTACGCCGATGCGCAGCGCGAACAACTGTACTCATAAACCATGTTTGATCGCATCCAGGCTGGAAAAACGTCCTCATACCTGAAGATCGAACCAATTTTGAAATTGTTTACCAGTCGATTTACTTACCAGAAAAACATGTAAATTCACATTCGGGAAATATTTCAACAACGAAATCTTTAGTTTTCAGGACATGGCTTCAGGCGCACTATCAAAATAGGGCAATGTGCAATAAATAGTTTCTTTTACGTACTATCGCATTCAGTCACAGTTTCAGAAAATTTGTTAGACAAGAAGAGTTTGATTTTACTAAACACAAGGCACGATGGAAAACTATTCAACTGAACTATATTACGAATAAATTCGAATTCCAAATGCATATCATGCAAGGTAGAACAAACCCTATAGCTGCGGTATATCAAAGTTTGAAGGCTATACATATTCAATTTGAAACGAAAAATCAGAGAATAGGATATCAGAAAGATATCACGAAAGATTAGAAAAGTATCATCAATATTATACCTTTCCGATCTTCAAGCATCCCTCTCATGCGGGCCTTTTCTTTGATTATATAAACCTCCAACATTCTTCAATAAAATTCACTATTGAATTAGAAACCAACAATAGCTTGTCGTTTCTCGATTATAAAGTAACTAAATCTGGCGGTCGTTTTTAGACTTCCGTCTATCGAAAACCGACATTTATCGGCTTGGGTATTTAAGCTTCTTTGGCTTCTGCTCGTTTCGTTTCAAAGTGAATTATAGTCTTCAAACTTTGATATACCGCGGCTCTAGGGTTTGTTCTTCCTTCCATGATATTTTTTATTTTTTTTTTCATGATATGAATATGGAATTTGCATGAATTAGTAATATATTTTAGCTGAATGGTTTTCCATCGTGCCTTGTGTTTAGTAAAATCAAACGCTTCTTATCTAACTAATTTTCTGAAACTGTGACGGAACGCTATAGTAAGAAAACCATTTATTGCACATTGCCCTATTTTGATAGTGCGTCTCAAGCTATGTCCAGAGTACTAAAAAATTTGTTTATGAAATATTTCTTGAATGTTAATTTGCATGTTTAGCTGGTAAATAATTTCAAAATTGGTTCTTTCTTCAGGTATAAGGACGTTACTCCTGCCCGGATGCGATCGAACATGGTCTATGAGTACAGTTGTGCGCACTGCGATCCGGCGTAGGTTAGAATGACGTCGAGAAACTTCCACATCCGAATCGTTCGAACTTGCTTCTCGGCAAGCATCCTTATTCTTCCGTGCGCCTCCATGTCGAACAGTGCGACGTGGCTGTATCTGAGAGTGATTTCAGGATATTCGGTTCCACCTCAGGCAGTTCTGATTTGAGGATTTTGGAGTCTCTACATATCTTCAAACGAAAACCATGTCTCAATAATGCGTTCAGTTACTATATAGTCTTGAAATAGTGAATCGTTAGGCTTTTAAGTTTTAGTGTTTTTCTTAGGTTTTAATCTTTTCGTGTCTCCCATGACTCTGTGTTCATCGAGTACTGGTTTTCGATTTAAGGCGTTATGCGTTTTATGTCTTTTCATGTTATAATGTCTGACTTAGAATTTTGAATTATAAAATGATTGTTTCATTTTTTAGATTGTCGAACTGATGATGGAGCTGGGCTCCGAAACGTTTCAATATCTTGAAACGAATTTGCTTGACGTTTTCTTTGCTTTTAAATTCCTTCTTATCTACATTTAAATTCACTTCTCACCCTATGACGACGGATGCAAGCAACACGCTACAACCTCGGCTGCGATGATTTCAAGACTTTTAATTAAATTAATCTTAGATCTCTTTCATTTTACATACCCCGCGATATTATTGATGGATATAATTACAGCTTTCTATTTTTAAATTTACCTGTAAACGCGCAATTAATAAATGATAAGTGTCGATTTACTTATGGCGGTATTTCTATAACACTCACCCTAGAGACGCTTGGGTACAAATGATTCCTCTTATAATTTCTAAGTAAATGCTCATGAATTATTTGAGGATTAGTTGCTTACATTTAAGTTCAGTGATGGTTTAGTGACAGAATGTGTTCCCAGTCAATTTTTTATACATGTATTGAATTTATGCATTACGACTTGATATCGGTCGGTCCTCATAAGCGTCCAAACAACAATTAAGGAACCTTCACGAGTGTCTTTCCATGCTTTTCAGTTCAATCCAACATTAGAACTGGTGAACTGGACTGATATAACGGCAAGTGACCGAGTTCATACAGAGTATTCAGAGTTTACAAAGTATAATAGGTTTACCCCCCCCTGTGAGACCGAGTATAATAGGTGTACTCACTGAGATAAGCAGAGCATAATTGGGTAGGACCCACCGTTTAAGGCAGAGTATAATGGCTGTATAATTAGTTCAATAGGTCTAGTCAGGGTACGATAATTGATCTCTCACCATATGAGTGGGTGGTGGAACGGATGAACGTAAAGCAAGTTCTTCTCCCTTGAAAGTTCGTTAGCTTTCTCGTCCGCCTCGTCCCAGATGGCGCCGTGCACCTGCAACGCGTTTGGAAATTAGATAATGACGGGAATATTGGGACTGAAGTATTTCTAATAGCTGGCGGGTGTGTGGGTGTGTCAGAACTGATCAGTGTTTGGATGTGCCAGAACTGACCAAATATCACAACTTATCTAATCTCAAATTTCACCATTTGTAATGTGTGCTGCAAGACAAATTCAAGATAAAAGTTTTACCAAATTTCATAAAATTATTCTTGCAGTTACCTGGACAGTAGCTCCCTCCCTTCGCAACTTGTCCGCCATGATGGACGGTGTGGACGACGGCACGACGACCGTGGCGGGCAAATTGAGGCGGCGGGCGGCATGGGCGGCCGCCAGTCCAGCGTTGCCGCCAGACGACGATACCACGCCCTTGATGCCGCCGGCCGAGTGCTGCACACAGGAAGACTTACCTGAGACCATTTATTATTATTAATCCTAACCACCTTGAAAAACTATCATAGATAAAGCATGGACACCCATTTGCCCATTTGCCCGAACTCACAAATTAATAATTGCCTGGGTGGGCGTATAGGTACACCAGGAAGCCCCTACCTGCACACAGGAAGACATACCTGAAACGGTCGTTAAGAATTACCGGAACATCAAGGAGTTAAAACTTTCTTACGAGGAAGACTAGACTCGCAATGTCCGCTTGATGGTCTGAAATAATCTATCTTAATAATAACCTTGAATGTTTCCTGAATGGAACCAGACTCCTACAGACCCCCTAACATCAGTGTAACATTCATACGTTACAAGAAGGATCAATCGCACCTCTAACCACGCGCTTCCTAGACAGCAGACTTACTGTACAAATAGCGATACACATTTTGCCTTTTGTGGGTAATGTTGACTTAGTTTGGCCCGGCTTGACGACGTTTCAGTGACACATGTAGAAATTATGTCATTATTTGGACTGCATTAACCATTTGTTTTCCATGTACAAAATGCTCATTTATTGATTTGTATTACTTCGTAGAAGACTGTTGAACAAAATGTATGTGAGCGCTAAATGTTGACTTCTAAATCTGCTTTATTTACCTCATTGACCTATTGATTTCTCACTAATCATCACTCACACTCTTTTTGACGAGGTTACCGATGCCTCTGATCTTGAAGCTGCCGCTGGGTTGCGTGTTCTCGAGCTTGAGCAACACGCGCACTCCACACGCCTGCTGCAGCTCGAGGCTCTCCAGCAGCGGCGTGACCACGTGGAATACATCGTCCCGTCCTGCTGCGATGGACATCTTGACGAGCAAGAAGTGGTTTATTCACGGAAAATAATCCCCAAACACGAGATTTTTCCCTTGATTTTCCTGGAATGGTTATAAATACTGTTGGACGAGGGAGAATTCTCTTAGTATTTTAAATTAATTTTTAATGATGAAAGATTTCCTCTCCATTGTTTGAAGAAACGGTCGGGCCGCCCTTTTGGTTTAGTGGCCGGGCGTCCCGTGAAATTCGCCCAGGATGATTCGTGCTTGATATGCCATCTTCTAAGAAAATAGCTACACGGTTTTATTTTATTTCGCGGCCGGCTACTATAGAACCCCCGTCAGACCGTTTTTTTCAAACGCTGTACCAACAGTTGGACGTTTTAAAGCTTGAAACTAATTTGGGGCGTTAAAGATGTAATTTTATTGTCGAGGTAAGAGCTGGTTTTTGGTCACAGAGGAAATCTGCATAGGTCTCTAATTTGGATACACCTTTAAGTGATTTTTATCGTTGGGAAATAGTATTGTTGCAATTAAAGGCACCGTTTCAGTTTGTTGGAATTATTTCCCAAACCTGGAATTTCAGAGATGAAGCACGCGACTGTTCAGCAAAAGAAAATTTCCGCTTACGCTTCTTGGCCGACACTAATATTTAGTTGGTGTTAATATGTTTGAGTTGACACCAATATATATTTATTTTATTTTTATTGAGTACTTTTTAATACCGTTTGCTGTGCTGACACTCATTACAATATTCATCCTGAGTGTCAGAATTCCTGGCCAAAACTTCGTTGTTGATATTGGAGAACCAGGCACTAATTTTTTCGTTTAGAGTAGAAGCAGGCCATTAGTCCTTACAGCTGACGCGTGGGGTGGGCATTTCTAGGGGCGAAGGTCATAGCACGCGAAAAACGTGGCATAAATTAGGTCGAATCATACACGTACTTAATGATAGATATAATAAGATATACATTTGGTTAAAAATAAATGAAATACTCTAAAATATAAATTAAGAGATTTAAAATTGCGCTATAGCATGAACACAGTACACACACTTTAATTTGCGAGAAGTTCTTGGTAGCGCATCAAACACACAAAACATCGTTTATTATGCAGGAATAGGAACTTCAATTACAGAAATAACGCAATTTTCCATGAATACTTAGGAAATCAAATTCAATATCAATTAGCCATACAAAACCTGATTGAATTATTGAACGTAACTAGTAAGAAACCTGACATATTGTCTTCATGTTAACTGTATATAGCAACTCCGATACGCAAGGCTGGCGCTCCCACACTGACACTGTGTGGCCTTGTGTGACGCCGTATGTGTGGCTGCTGCATGTGCAGCGTATGGCTGTATGAATGTGTTGCTGACACACGTGCTTGGCTGAATGGCTTATCATGACGCCAGTATAAGAGATAAGAGGCTTTTTGTCTAATGCGTTGATGTATAAATTGTATCATAATGAATGATGAGAGATCTGCAGCTATGGAGTCGCTGCAGCAATGTGTAAACTGACAGATATTTTTTTTTTTGCGGCAATCAGACTTTGGTCAAGACACATTTATACTTATTGAGATTTTATAGTGACAAAAATGTATTGTGTTATATGAAAATCAAAATCTTCCAAATAAGAAGCAGACGCCGACAATGGCAGAAATAAAGGAAGGTGGAAGTCCTCCAGGAGCTACAAACTACCAAAATAAATTTTAAAAATGGTTTTTAAAAACTACGTTTTTCGGGTGGTTACAAAACTAAAAACAACGAAATAAAAGAAAAAAACTTTTAAAAACCACGTTCTTTTAACGTTCAAAAAAGAAAAACATTAACTCTTACATAACATTTAAGTTATGTAGAATGTTATGTAATGTTATGTAAGAGTTATTGTTTTTTTTTGTCCATTAAAAAACGGGGTTTTAAAAAGTTTTTTATTTGTTTTATTTCATTGTTTTTAGTTTTGTAACCACCAGAAAAACGTGGTTTTTAAAAGTGATTTTTTATATTCATTTATTTCCTACTTTTTAGTTTAGCAATTTTAGCAATTCAAATTATTTTGCAGGGTTGGCAACTCTGAATGTTCGACAAAAAAATTTGATTCCAAAACATGAATTTTTAGGTTTTTCAATTTTTTTAATAAAAAAGTCTTTTTAAACTTATTACTTCTAATGGTCAAATCTTGAATTGTTAGGCAGCATAAGCATGCATGCCAAATTTCAAGTTTCTAGGATCTTCAGAAGTGCTCTAAATTAAGGTTTGAATTTTTGATGACAGACAGAGACGAAACGAAACTAAGAAACTACGACACAGATGTGTATAAGAGACAGGTGTTGAGGTGTAACTAATGTGTTGATGTGTAACTAATGTGTTGAGGTGTAACTAATGTGTTGAGGTGTANCTTAACGTATCACATATCTTTTATCGTATCACGTATCTCTTAACGTATCACATACCTTTTAACGTATCACGTATCTCGTAACACGAAGATACCCTCCTTCCTCGATGTCTAGTTCCTAGATGCCTCCTACTTCCTAGTTCAAAATTATCTTAATTCTTCCCTACAATAAAAAAATTGATATTTAGTAGTTCTGACGTTATATTAATTCACGAGGTCACCTCTGTCATATTATGAGATACACTAAGCGGTCATTTTTATTTTGTTTTCATCCCCTGAATCACGGTCTAGGGAGACTCATGGTCTGGGGAGACTCATGATCTGGGGAGACTCATGGTCTGGGGAGACTCATGGTCTGGGGAGACTCACGGTCTAGGGAGACTCACGGTCTGGGGAGACTCACGGTTTGGGGAGACTCACGGTCTGGGGCGACTCACGGTCTGGGGAGACTCATGGTCTGGGGAGACTCATGGTCTGGGGAAACTCACGGTCTGGAGAGACTCACGGTCTGGGAAGACTCACGGTCTGGGGAGACTCACGGTCTGGGGAGACCCATGGTCTGGGGAGACTCGCGGTCTGGGGAGACTCACGGTCTGGGGAAACTCATGGTCTGGGGAGACTCATGGTCTGGGGAGACTCACGGTCTGGAGAGACTCACGGTCCGTGGAGACTCACGGTCTGGGGAGACTCACGGTCTGAGGAGACTCACGGTCTGGGGAGACTCACGGTCTGGGGAGACTCATGGTCTGGGGAGACTC